TTTCGGCATCTTGTGCTTACTTCCTTGCGTACGGATGACAGCTGCATATGACTTAATTTACTTTATGGTTCTTTCACTCCCATGGACAGTTGTAAGCACTGTGCAATTGCCTCGAGGGTGCTTGATGATTTTAACAAAACGTGGTGCGATCATCCCCCTTGCGCGGAGTGAGGGTTTTCGACCCCGCACAACATGATCTACTCGACCACCATTCATGGTTACCGCCAAAAAAAGAGGTAACAAAAACACAACGGTAACCTGGTTGCCGAGTTCACGAAGTGAACAAGCGACGAAAACCCAATCCCGATGGCAAACACCGAGGGGGGGACGGGGGGCCGGCTTGTTTTACAACGTCGTTGCCAAGTGACGAAACCCAACCCCGATGGAAAACACCGGGGGACTCGAGTGGGGGGGCTGGGGGGGGGGGTTATGTGCTTCTTTTTTCCGGAGCCCCCCCCGGTACTTGCCTGTTTTTTGGTTGTCTTGATCCAGTTCGGTTGTTGGCCCTGCTGTGTCTTTGCTCTTCACCTTCCTCAAGGTCCTCTGTCAAGATTTGTCGAAGTTTCTCAAGTGTATGGTACGTGTGTTCATGGTTATCCACTCCGTCTCTGCTGCTGACACGGCTCCCCTCTGATTATCCTCATTACGGCGGCAGGTCGGAGCAGGAAGCACGGGCGTGCGACGTTTGCATCGAACGACGCCGTAAGCGCTTCGGAGAGGTATGTACGAGCGTTACCGTAGGGTGACACAAGATACCACTCCCCCTGGACTGATGTTCAGAGCTCAACTACCCCACGACGGATCCGAATTACGTGTTTCCGGCAAGTCCTCGACGGGACAGTTCCAACGCCGCCATTTTCGGCGTCGCCACTGTTTCTGCTGTGGAGAAGTTGAGCTCTGAAAATCAGTCCAGGGGGAGATGTATCTTGTGTCATGTCACCTAACGGTATTGCCGCATGTTTGCGTGACGGAATGTTCCATAGACGTTATTGGACTCACCAACGCTAACCGTTAGGTAAAGCTGTTGCGTTTTTTATGCATGCCGCACGGCTTCTGTGTGCTGGGAAACCTTTTTGGCTCTAACCCACCGAATGACGGTCTCTCAACCATCTGGAGCGTTTTGCTTCGCATTTTTTGTCTTCCTGACGGTAGCAATGCGCCTCGTTTGTTTCTCTGTTTGACAAACCTTCCTTCTTGAAGTATTTGTCCTATTTTTCCTTGCTGTTGATGTTTTTGCTGTTGTCTTTTTATTTCGGCCGTCTGCATGCCTCTCCAAACAAATCATGCGCAGGTTCGCCTGATCCTGTGGTACCAGTACGACGAGTTTGCCGAGATGTGCAGCCACACGTGGCCGGAGGAGCCACTCAAGCCTCCCAAGATTGTGAGGGAGAAAACAACTCAAACATCTTGTGTGATTCTTACTCAAGCCGAAACAAGTGCACTTCTGTCCGCGGGAACAAATTCTAAGGCGAAGAGGGATGGATGGATGGATGCGGTCATAGTGTTTCGTGGACGGATTGTTGTACTTAGGTTAATCCTGGCGTGGCTGGTACATGGCGTTCGCTTTCGCTTAAGCCGATAGCCGTGTGTTTTTGTTGTTTCAACGAATGTAGCTGTGGATTTTCTGGTCTTCCTCTGATGTGTTGACCTCTTGATTGTGTGCGTACAGTGAGGCCTTTGCTGTCATCGACTGGTCAGAAGAATGACGGACGTGGCAAAGGTGCTTGCTGTACACTTTACGGTGGCCAGGTCGTCTTGTTGTTTTTCCTGCCGAGACCATAAGCACAAGGCCAACGAACGTTAGCGCGTGACACCCTCAGATTTAGACTGCTGTTTTATCTAACACAACGTTTGCTTCGCGCAATCATAGCAAGGTGTTGGGGTTGCAGGCACACGGCTGCTGTACCGCAGTTGTAGCAAATAGCGAGATAAAGAAAGTATATATTGAAAAACCTCTGGCGGATGCTAATGTTTTTAGAGCGAGCCCCCCGCCTCCCCACGAAAGGATTACTAACCCATCGTTTGATGTCCCGTCACACACACCCTCGAGAAGGCGTGGTCAAAGGTCTCAACTAAAAGGAAGGCGAAGCATGAGTATGACCCCCCCCCCGAGCCTGGTCCGGTGAGAACCCGGCGTGCTCCGTCCCGGCTTTGTAGGGATGCGAGGTCAATGGTCTAACG